CAACGACTCAACTCCTGCACGACTTCCCGGCACGGCTTTAACTTTCCGGCACGACTTTCACTTTCCTGCACGACTTCATCCGACACGATTTTCTTTGGTCTGTTATTCAACAGTACCTACAGATGTTTACCTTAAGATTAAATTTCATCTTGACCAAATTTTAAGGGCAATAGGCTATGGTGGAGACGTTAACAGTCAAATTGTTTTACGTTAACACACAAAGTCATAAGTAAAGTAGTTTTATGACGGTTCAAAAAGAAACAAAACCAAAGTGATTATTCTAGTCAGTAGGCACTGTTCAAAGGATTTTTTTTGTTTCATCGGCTAAAAGTTTTATTACCGAACCCACTAGACTATTCTATAAACAAATGAACCCGAAAAAACCTTGTGGTTTTTCGTCTTGGGGAACTTTGAGTTCATTTCCTCCACTTGTAGCTGATCGCGTGCGAGCATAAATACAACTTAATCAACTTACTTGCCGCAAGCGCTTGGAGCACATTTGTTTTTTGTTTTACGCCAGCTGGTACCACGTGGCACTTGTGAGAAAAATTTGCATCACTGGTTGAAGTTTAATATGCCACTGAACAATTGCTGCCAGAATTAATAGTTTACACTTAGCAAGGTAGCCACCTTTTTTCAGCTTCAAATGTTGCTCCGATCCTAGTGAATATATATATATTATTCAAGTTATGTACATCATGAAAGTAGGTGTGCATAATCATGATGTCTAATATGCATTTTTTAGGAATTATCTTTAACTGCAAGCCTTTTTAGCTTGAATGGATCATGACACTATTAAACAGCTAATGGTTATTTTTCTTTAAATTGGGTTCACTGATTCCATTAACAATCTACACTGTCCACTAGTTTCATTCAGTGAATTATGTTATACAATGTAAATGTAAAATGAAGTGTTACTGGTGAAATAAGGAAAGTGTGTTTATTTTAAAGGATTGTCTAGATTTATTTTCTTTAATATTTATTTTTAACAGTTATGAGACAAGGGTAACCTCAAGAGTAGCCAATTGAGTATGATATTGCAACTGCATGTCCCACATATTCTTGTTGCACCTCTCTTCTTGGGTTTACATTTTGGCATAACATTGATAAGTTAGTCTGCGTTGATTTAATAATGATAGAGCATATGCAATTACATTGCCACTGGCCATACTTCTTTTTTGAAAAATAAGGTGCTTTCATTCTTTTTATTTTGCAAGACTGCAATAAACAATTCCTAAATTTTTAGCATCCAAAGGCTACATAATAAAAATCTTCTATACTTGTAACTTTCCCACTTAACAAGTGAAAAAACACAACTAGCTAATTTATATATGGAATAACTGCTTAGTCTCTTTCATTAATTGTTGCAATCTTAACCCTTAACACCATGGCATAAGCATGCATATTCTCCATTGTAATCTCCATGTATATTTAAAGAAGCTGACTAGAAGAAGTTATCTAACAACGAGAGCTTCTTCAGTTGGTTATCATTTTCTTTATTCATATGACTTAAACATTTGATTCAGGGATGATATTGCAAGGAGAGATACTGGTCTCTCTTAGGGGGTTAAAGGGTTAAAACCAGTAGAATTCCCATCAGCTTCTGCAAACTCACTTGGAATGGTTGTAAGGACACAGGATAGAATCATTTTCTTCTCTTCCAAACATTCCTTAACCTTTAACTCCCATGACTGACCAAAACAATTTCTCCTCAAAATATCAATACAACATCAACCAGATAAGTGATGAGAACAGAGAAAAATATCAATTTGGGGATAATTAGTTGATCCAATACTAAATTCTGTGAACTAAAATTATAAGAATTGTATGGTTGATAATAGGGAGAATTGCAAATTTGATCTCAATACAACATCAACCAGATAAGTGATGAGAATAGAGAAAAATATCAATCTGGGGATAATTAGTTGATCCAATACTAAATTCTGTGAACTAAAATTATAAGAATTGTATGGTTGACAGTAGGGAGAATTGCAAATTTGATCTAGAAGTTAAAAGGTTAACTCAACCAGAGCTACTCTTGATAAGCAGCATAGTGATAGGGACTGAGGATAGAATTGGTAAAATTTTGTTTTTATGATGACACAGAAAAGAGAATTTTGGAATTTATACTTGAAAAAAAAACAACAACAACAACAATAAATAATCAAAAAAAAGTAGGAGGAACAGAACAGCATCATTCTCTGGCGTGTACATTTTAATCGGATCAAAATGTAAAATGGACGCATTAAGGATCCGAACAGCTTCGCCTTAGACTGAGAGCAGACTTCATAGTCTCGATGTAATTTGAGTTAAATCATGTCACCAATAAGCAAGTATAGTACATGATGTATCCTGGAGTAAATGCAGAAGGAATCTTGTCAACATTGCGCTCCCCAATTCTACAATGGTGAAGGCATGGGTGATCTACTACAGTCGCGGAAGCCCACCAGTTGATAACAGCGCTCGATTTAAGCACACGGCTGGGAATTCCACCTTCTCTAAGATAAACGAGACCCCTGCATTTTGCCTAACAGTAAATAAATCATTAAGACAAATTAAACCGATCTAAACACAAATAGAGTTCGTTTAAGCTAACCTCTTACAAGTGTAATTTCCAACACTTAACTCAAGCAAAAAGACATTACTTTCCGTTAAAATAACTCTTTATTTATACTTTATTTATACGATGTTACCGACCCAATACATGTAAATGTTTATAGCCGATTATTTTTGTATATGTATTTGTATTCTCCGTCTTGTTTTTACAAATCTGCTTGTTTTTGACAGCGAATTCACTCTCTCAGCGATGGTAGCACTTGGCATAAGCCACAAGAACACCTATCCGTAGTCTCAAGTAGATTACTCATTTCACCATCTCCGTTGCTGTTTCCTTCCAGATTTTGAGCTCGTTTAGCACACTCGAAACGCGCGTGGGGCGGGGGTTAAGATTTTAAGAAAGTACGCAAGATTTGATTGGTTCATCTTTTCTTAACAAGCGGGAGACTGGTTCAAGTTAGAATCGATTACAAATCGATACCGGCATTAACGATTGAGTTTCATCACGATTGGATATAGCGATTGATATTTTAGCACTAGTGACTGAGTTTTGTCACCAGCGATTGATATTTTAGCATTAGGGATTGAATTTAATCACTAGCGATTGAAATCTTTGGTACAAGTGGCTCTTCATACAAAATGATTATTCAAATGTTTATGGTGAGACAACAAAAGGCTCCACGTGTTTTGCCAGCATCGTTCTGAAAGAGTTCCCCTTTGATTGAAAGCACATGATAACGAGGTGTTCAACTTCTGCCATCAAGGCCATACATTGTCCTTGCCTTTCTTTTCAAAACTAATTTGGTTTTGTCGACTGAGTTGGTTATGTGAATCGTCACTTTAAAGCTGATGTTTCAGGTGGGCTTTAGCCCCTCGTCAGAGCTCTGATGGAGCCCTCTATTCATGGATCTATTCCAACCTACGGAATAATAACAATAATCAGTACATTCGACATGAATAATCTGTTCAGCAAAGCTTAAAGCGAAGCGTTGTGAACTTTAATGGTATTAGACCGATTTTTAAAGTTTGGAGGCAAATGGGCTTTTAAATGCAAGCTGCACTATCTTGTAACAATTCTCTGACCTAAGAGTATTCACGCCACTATTCCAATGTGACTCATCTTCCTCCGAAAGCAGGTCTCGTCAAAGTGACGTCGCTGTTTTTCCGAGGTTTCATGGCCTTCATAATGTCAACTTAGAATGATGACTGTATTTAAGCAAGTGACGAATTGATCTTCACAGTCATATGATGGGGGTTCAGCCAATTTCCTCCAGACACCACCTGGGCTCTACTTAACAAATATAGAAGCCTTGACTGTGCTATGTTCTGTTGTAAACCACGCAGGAAGCGGCTAGAGCACGAAAAAAGTGTAGGGAGAAATATGGGACATAGTCGAGTGTTTCTCTCTACACTTTTTTCGTGGGGAATATGACATGCCATACATTGGCGATTAAATTCGCCGGCACTCGCCAAGTCTGCCCGCCCCCGCGATTTCTTCCCCATAGCAAGTCTCCAGTAAAATTGACCAATCAAGTTGGGTGATATTATTACATGACTTTTCATAATGGCGGAAGGCGTCGAAACTTGCTTCTAAACCGAAGAAAAAGAAGTAAGGCAGAACAAGATTTCGGCGAAGAACTCATTCCGCACGCCTTATCACAGTAACTTGAAGGTTCATTCGCTCGAATTAAGGATTCTGTGTATGAAATTGTCACGAGGTAAACGCATAGGTAGTGTAAGGCTGATATACATGCGATCAACCATTTACGAAGGCACAATCGAAAGGCAGTGTGTGATTTTGAGTAATCGGCGTTCAATTCATTTATACTTGCACTTCGCTCGCTCTTTAATATAGTTTTTTCTGGAATAAGGCATCCAAGTACTTCTTTTGTGAAATATATCGCTAAAATTTTCAGCGTAGGCTTTGGAAGATGTCAAACTGAAACAGATGTGCTTTGATCGAAAGTCCTTTATGAAACAACCACAAAGAAGCTTTTCCCAATTTTTTTTTTGTCTAGTAAGACTATTGTTTCTTACTACCGCTATCAACGATCTATGAGGACACGCTGCACGACCATTTCTATAAAACGAAGGCCCTGTCGATTTCGTTATCGTCTTACAGCTGAATTTATTTTTCAGCTCGAGTCGTTTCATTTCCATATAGATTCAGCTTTTGGTTTAATTGTCTTGAACATTTGATGTTCGTCAATAAATAATTCATATCAAAAGCGGAGGAGAACCAGATCATTTAAATTCATATATGTATCATTAAACATTCTCGAGACCGGCAGAGAGACCACAATTTTCCGTTCTTACTTGATTGGTGATGGCTCCTGATGTAGATGGGTATTTTGGTCAATTAAGAATACTTTATGTTGGTGCATAGATCTACTTCCTCAATATTGCTAGCATACTTCTAACATTCCTAATTTAATTTCGTTTAGATTACTGAGTGGTCTTGAAGCAACAACACAAAAGCTGAGCGTAAAGTAAAGGCAGCAAATTGTTACCGAGGTAAATGTATATGATGTTTATTTCACGTTCTTTCTAGTGACTGTAGCAAAGAAAATAGCTTAATACTCTTCTTCCCAAGAGATCCATGAAACAAAATAGTCGATTCAGTTTGTCATCTGGCTGCCATACTGAAAGCACAATGTTGAGCTTTGAATGTAAGGACCGTTTAATTTGTCCACCTTCTTTTTCCTTTGTTTCGAAACGCAACCTCTTCGGCCCAAAATCACCATCTAGTCGTTTGGTATACATATAGACTAACTTTTCAACTCTTTCTGTGTGATTCTAACTCGAAATAAAAAGCGCAATGCCAAGGAACACATTCATTATATTGTTTAAGTGGCTATCACGCGAAAATTTTTTGCGCTTTCTGGTTGATAGCTGAATTTAAAATTTGAGATAATCGACCTTCGCGCCTAGCGAGTTCTCCGCGACCATTTGACCATCGAAAGTACGATTTGGCGGCCAAAAAGTGTTCTCATTAAGCGTGCAGCTAAAACGATCATGTTATATAGCTGTGACGTTACAAACTGAAAGACTCGTTGGCAACTATGGCGGAGAGAGGAGAACTCAAGAAGAGAGGATGAACGTATTGCGTGGCCGGAGCGCCAGATGATGTTAGTTTTATATTTCTATACACTACTTTCCAAAGGATGTAGCTGTATGGCCAAATGGACGCCTTTCGATCGTCGTCACAGAGGAGATTTTACTCCTTCCGCTTCGAAAACACTTGCTGTCGGTGAGTACAAAAGTCACTCGTTTTCCGCTTAACCGACTCGACCGCGATAGTCTTTGCCTTTGTAATCTCTGAGGAAAGGAGCCTCGTGATACAGCTGATTCTTTCGATGCTGCCGTCCAAAGTTAGCTATTGGTTTACTAAGGGAATTACTCTACAGAAACGAACACAGCTACTCATTCTTAAAATAGAAAACAGAACACAAACGCAACGAACAAATCATTTTGTAACGGGAGTTTTTTGTTCAGATCTTGACCTGAACACCGCAGTCCTCGTCGAAATCTTTGTTTGATACACGCGGTTCTTCTTCGTCGAGCTGAACCGTACAGGCAACTTCCATTTATTCCTTACTTGAGTACGATGCATCACAAGTCTCGGTAAAGCTTCCTGAAGGTAGGTATACATCGCTATCGGACAAGATTTAATGAGTTTTTCAAAGCCTAATAATATAAAATAACATAAAATTACAGGAGATGTGAGTGTCAGCTGAGAGTTTTCACGGAACTTCTTTAAGACAAAATAAGAACACTTTAAGGCCCGAAAAAAAACCGAGTTTTAATTGTTTTGACTTTTTTATTCCATCGGAAGTAGTTTGTACATATGATAAGAGGAATAAATACGCAAAAAATTTTCGTTCAGGAGCGTTTTAATTTTAACTGTCAGAACTCTGATTTTTTGTTTCCATTTTTTTAAATAATGTCATATATTTGAAAAGCTATCGATCAATAGTTGTCAGAAATGGTCTCAAAACGCTACTTATAAAAAGTAACTCGCGAACTAGCTCGCGATTGTGATGGTCTTGTTTTCTTCTACCGTGATACTTGTGATTGTTGCTGGTATATCAGCTCTGTATCGGCTTTAGAAGATGGAAGCCAATATTAAGTAATTTAGAGTGATTATATTCTCCGCATGCGTATTGTCGTAATATTCTTTACGGTTTTGCTTGGCTATTAATGGGAGCTGAGGTGTGCTCCCGGCAAAAATTGCGGGGACTGGTTATTATTTAGCGCCCCGAAGGAGGGAAAGGGGAGGGGGGAGGGTCGGATTTTGGTTGTGCCGCAATAAAATTTACCTAAGCCCCCGGTGAGGCTTTGTAGTATTCTGATGACCCCCCCTCATTGGCAGTCAATCTTCTATAGTTCCCTCCTCCCTTTATACTTTGTTGGAAACCATGGGATCCCCACCCAAAATATCATCCTCTGGACCCTCCAGGGCAATAGATAATGACTGGTCAATAAACGTCAACCAAGAGACTACAAACTGTAACCTCATACGTCAACTGAACTTCTTGACAACAACTTTGTCCTATTTTATGAGAAGTTCCCAAGCCTTTGTACGATAGTGTGCGATAGCAAGTTTTTGGGATTATATAACCTTTTGATTAAAGGTTAATTTTAATATAGCTGGTAACACCACTCGTACTTTTTTTCAGGCTACTCGATGTAAAAAATGTAAATGTAAAGTAAGAGGGAAAATATATTTTCCCGCCTTTTGATCACGTGATCAAACACTATCGTTGTTGAGAAATTAAGCTCAGCTTAGTCCCTGTTATCTGAAGAAATTGCGCTCAACACTCCCTCTGAGAAGGTAACTCTATGTGGTAGGTGTTTCATATACTTTTTCATAAGGCTGGAGTGATGTTGAAAAGCTTTGAAGCATTTTGAGTAACTAGAAAGAAAATCTGACGAGAAATGTAATGCTGCTTGCATAATCCGTAGATTACGTGACTAACACTGATAAATTACAAACAATTTCTCAAACACTTTCTGCTTCACACGTACTAAATCTCAGTTCATAAACCTTCGTGATCAAGATATTATTAAGTTTGCTTCTCTAACCTGACAAGTGTTATCATTCTATCACGATTAAAACCGTGACTTCTAGAAAGTTTTCTTAACTTTCTTGAGTGTGGCGGTTAAAATGTTGTGGTTAGTGTGGTTCGGGTTTGTCGAGCAGTAAGTGACTAGAGACAAGTCACACATGATCTGAAAATCGTGATAACTGCGAAATATACCGCCAAAAAAAGAACAAGCACTGCTATTTGAGTAGCTTTATCAATCAAGCTTCACGAAAGAAATGCATATTTGCTTCACTTCACAAGTATTTGCAAGTTCTGGGTGGCTGGTTTTGTTATTTACTTGGCAAATATGAAGTCAGTTTGCTCTATCTAAATATGACTAGTGCTCTGTGTTTCAGTGACATGACGGACGTAGTTTTCATGAAAACACCAAAAATTGGAAGACATAAGTTGACTAAACAAGATACCTGATAACTCGAAATAACTCGATGCGCACGCCTCCTCTGCTTGATTAACGATTAACTGAATGACCTTAATAAGAATAGTTTTTTGAATATCAAAGATGTTTGTTCACATATATTAAAGTTCACACGGCAACCAGGTGGACAATCAGACATGGTTTGATGCTACTCTGGTTTACAGATTTAGTGAATGTAACCGAAGAAGTTACAATTCATAGACCCAACGTTTCGACACTCCTGTCTAGTGCCTTCATCAGGGGTGATCTAACGCTGCTACAAGAGGTCCTTCTATACGATTTAAAGCAGCGATTTAAAGCAGCGTGGGCGTCACGATTTAAAGCAGCGTGGGCGGAGTTTATATGCCAAGCCTCCAAACAAAGGCGCTGGTGGTAACTAGTAAGTAAGTAAGTACGTAAAGACTTTATTTAAAGAGGGTAGCACTAAAATAGTATAAAAGTACTAACAAACCAGTGGCCCTCTAAAAATATGTACAATACGGATGTTAAAAACTATGGCATAACTATGAGATAATATAACGAATAAAAATACAAGAGATAAGAGATAAAATCAATTAAAAATACAAAAGTATAATTAAATCACAGAATAAAATAATTTAAAAGCTGCTGTTCTTCAAAAATTTTTTTCCAAAGAGAGTTCGCCGATTAGTGGTGATAATTTTAGAATTATCCCACCCAATAGTATGGTTAGTTAGGCATGTGTCCTCCGATAAAGCTGAATTTTCCTTTTTGCAAAAGAAAACCGCTTTCTGATGCTCTTTTAAAAGGGGTACCAAACTGACGTTTGGTCTATCCGATGTATTCATTGTCACAGTCATTGCAAGGAATAGAATAAATGGCGTCGGTTCGTTGTTATTTCGTGACAGGATCCTTAGGTTTGGCGAAAATATGCCCCAAAGTCTGAAAGGTTTTTGAGCAACTTCAACGTTGTGGCTATTCAAAATTCTCTTGATGGGTTCCGTAACGCCTTGAATGTAAGGAATAACAGCAAAACCAGTCGCTGGTTAGAAGAATGCTAGTTTTTTCCCACAAGAACAAAATTATTTTTCTAAGAACCAGTTAGTGAGTTATTCTTCTGAGAAGAAACACTGCTCTCCTTCCAAGACGATATCCATTTAGGGAAAGAACTGTGTGTCTTATCCTAAGGTTAATAATTCTTATGAGAGAATCTCGTGTTTTTCTAATTCTCGTTAAAATAATGCTAGGTTTGTTTTCCACAAGAACAAAATTAATTTTGCCAAGAATCAGTTAATGAGGTGTTCTTCTGAGAAGAAACACGGCTCTCCTCCCAAGATGATATCCATTTAAGCAGAATCTCTTATTTTAAGGAAGCTTATCAGAAGAATTACTGCTCTTCCCTGAAGACCCAAAATCTGTTTGAGAACTCAGTTTCTAAATCTTCTCGTGATAATTTTTTTCCTTCATCCAAGAATGAATATTCATTTTTAAATTGATGGTTTTTCTCCAGGGATTGACTTTGCTTGTGTGAACAGTCAAATTCAAAAGCATTCTTGCCTATATGGTCTTTGTGCTCCTATGAGGTCTGCACATTCTACTGAGAAGAATCTCTTGCCTTCACTGGGTTTTGTTAAATTATTGAAAGGATTGATTTTCCTCTAACATGGTAAACTGATGACATTGAAAAGAATCTCATTTTTTTAGTTTTATTTTTTAACATACAATCAATATAACATAAAATTAACTTTCATGTTCATAATGTATGCATCAAGTTATTAATGAACAACTATATCAACATTCACTGTATCAACAACTTTCACTGTTTATCTACGTATCTCAATCCTTGTACATTAGTTAAATAATATCATGTCACGTTTAAATCAAAACCAATTTTAGTTGGTTTCATCTTTTTACATACAATTCACACAAAATATAATTAACTTACATAGTCACAACAACATGGTGTGGACATCAAATTATCAATGAACGACTATATCAACATTCATTGTATTGACAACTTTCAATTTTTATTG